TCGAAAATTTTTGGCAAATTTTCAATAATATTTTTGGGGAATTTGCAAAAATTTAAGAATTTTTTGCAAATTTCTCAAAAATATTATTGAAAATTTGCCAAAAATTTTCGAAATAATAACAATAAAAAAAGATAATATCATTGTTCCGGAACGAAACCAGCACAATAATATATCAAAGCATTTTAACAATTATTATTTTCTTCTTTTTCTTCACACTTTTTCTTTCGCATAAACATTATTGGAAAATATTTTTGTAAAAAAAATTTAATTTTAAAAAATTGCATGCAAAAATTCGAAAGATGCAATTCCTGAAGATTAATCTAATTAATCTTCAAGCATCGCATCTTTTGATTTGCCATGTATTTTGTTTGTTGCATACTTTAAAGATTAATTAATTATTGGAAGAATAATTATAGTGCAAATGTAGAAGTTGAGAATTTCCCAGATTGCATCGCTTACCTGTAATATGATGATAATTACGGGTAATAAATAAATTCGTTGCTTAGAAGCAGAATTGTGTAGAATGAATCAAAATGTTGGTCTCGCCCTCCGTGGGACTCGAACCCACGACCCTCAGATTAAAAGTCTGATGCTCTACCAACTGAGCTAGGAAGGCTCCGGTTGGCCTTCCATTAATTTTCCCAAATCAATAAAAGTTTTTGATAAATTTTTATTTCTGTATTTAAATTACATGATAAAGATCTTATCAGTTAAAACCAACTTTATTGATTAGAAATAACCAAAGCATAGCTCACCACAAAAGAAACACTTTTACAAGTTTTGTTACACATAACTGAACGAATCATTCCTCAACTTTTCTTCATCAATTTCTCTCTTCAATGAAACTCATTACTGATTGATTATTCGAATGTTGCAAGTGCTAATACAGTCAGGCCTTAGCCAATCGTCATATTCAATGATCGAAATCTACTGATCAGATCAAATTGTTCACTGTAACGATTGAACTGGATATGAATTGATCGATAAATTCACAAACTTTTCCAATAATATTCATTAATTACCAGATTACTTGGACAATAATTGATGAAACTAATTACAATTAATTAAGCTAATAATTACTGAAGTACGAACGATGCATAAAACATCTTCAAGAATCATTCCATCTTGGCTTTCATATAAGCTCGAAAAACGAATATTTTATAGTAGATTTATAAATTAGATAAAATGATTGTTACTTATTTTTAATGAGAAAAGTTCCTTTTTCATTCTTTGATATATCAAAGATTTTGCAATGATTTGGACAGAACATTCAGGATTTAATATAATAATTAGCTTTAATTAGTCTTACAGAATACAATAATCAAAACTTGCTAAATAGTTAATATTCAGGCAAGATAAGAAGAAATATTTCAGTTGAAGTAGAAAGTTTTGACAAAATTTAGGCAACAAATGGTATACGTGAAAAATATACGTGAGAAACTTACGTGAAAGATTTTGTAATTATTCATAAATTATACAGTACAGCAATATGAATAGCGAAAAAATGTTTAGTAGCTGGAAAAACAATTGAAAGTGATCAAAACTTTTAATATAACACAACATTGATATGTATTTGCGACAATAATTTGATACGTCTTTTTTTTGTTTTTAAATAATCAAGCTTCTAATAAATTAATCAGCATATCATTAATTATACTGGCAAAAATATCACGATTTATGTTTGTAAAATTATCATTCACTTAGGTGATAAACGATACTGTAACAAAGAGCAATAATAACGGTCGAAGCAGTATATTATCAGCGAGTGATACCAATGATAAATCACATAACAATAAAGATGGAATTATTGAAAAGCAACAACCAATTGTATCAAAATCAGCAAAAGCGAAAGTGAATGCGAGAAAAGGAAAAGAATCACTCAAAGAAAGTATTACAGTTGCGCCGGTAATAATTTTTTTTAATTATTTTGAGCGCAAATATTATGGAAGTTAAATCTTCAAGTTAAATCTTAAACTAATTAAGTATAATTGATATTGAACATTTTCTTTTTTTATTATCAATTTTATTTGTTTCATTCAGGAAACGGATTTATTATCAGTGATAACAACAAAGATGAATACAGCTACGACGCAATCATCTAATCATCCTAAACAGCTCACTGGTTGTTTCCTTTTTTCTTTTTTAATTTCTAAATAAATTTTATATTTATGAAACGAAATTTTAGTTTTTATAGATGAAAATTTTATGTTAGAAATTCCATATTATCATCGATATTAATGTCAATATTACAAAACATCAATACAATCATCCTTGCAATCATTTGAAATTGAAGTAACGCTAAATCATAATTAATATCACATGAATCTTTTCGGATAACAAAATTAGCAAAACACGTTGTTTTGATCAATGATCGATGCTCAGAATTTCAAACGTAATTGGATAACTTTGGAGCTTTTACGTAAATAATTATATTAATGTCGAAAGTTGAAATAAATTATTACTTTGAAGAAATTAAAAAATTTCTTATCATAATTAATTTCTAGCAAAGCACAGAATGCCATCTGAACAATCAAAAGTTGAACATAAAGGTGACAGTGATGTCACTTTATTTGACATGCCATCAAACAAAAGTAATGATGAATCTATGAAACAAGATGATAACAGTGAAAGAGGTTGAAAATTTCCGATATTTCTTGAATACTTCGAACTTGAAAAGTATCATCAATTTTTGATTTTAAATTAAAACATAAATTAAAATGTCATAATTTTGAATCAAAAAATCATTAGGAAAATGGATTTGATTATTTTAGTTAATAAATTATACTTGAGTCACATAATGTTGCAATTGCATGCTGAAAATATGACTGCATGAAATTTGATGAAAATTTCATTTTATTAATTAATTTCATTTTCTTATGCTTCTAATGATTACAATAAAAAAAATTAAGCATTAAATATTGAGTAAATTAAGAAATAAAATAATTGTTTACTTTTTTTTTGACTTAAATGATAATCATTTTCAGTTACTGAGCAAGATTCAATCTCATCAATGAAAAATGAAGAAAGTGATGTTAGGAGAGAATCAGAATCAACAATAGCTGATGTAACAACAACCAAAGGAACGGAATCAGCACAGAATGAACTGAAACGAAAGTCAGAATCATTGCAATCAGAAAAAGAGGAATCACAAACTGATGATTCAGTCAAAGAACGAACTGATGATAACAGTGATTTTGAAGGTTGGCTTTCTGAAAGTACAATCTCCTTATGTGATTATTAGTCAAATATTAAAACTTGATATTATTTTTTAAAATTCATCGTTTGTCTTTTCAGTTGATAATAATCAATCGGAAACAAGCACAATTGATATGGATGATTTGAGTGCTAACGAAACTGATGAAGACATTAAGCGACAGTATTCCGATGATATTTCAGTAGCATTTTGGGAAGGTTTGGCTGTTCTGTTTACTATGCTTCTCTTTAAAATGTATAAAATTAATATTTTGAAATTTAAGCTTAAAAAGTTGAATTGAAATTTTACAAGCGAAATTCATTTTTTTTTTTTAGCAACAACAACGAAGAAAGAGATGCCAGTAGTTGAGGAACCAGTACCGATAACAAAAGAATCAAAAGTGGAGATGAAAAATGTAATTGCAACTAATCAAGACAAAGCAATGCGATAAGATTGGTTCATCAAAAATATCATAAAGTACTGATTAATTTCCAGAAAAGCAGCAATTTTTTTTCTTTTTTTTTTAGAATTTCCGGGATCAAACCGCTTTGTGTTAGAAGGAAACAGCTATTAATTTTTGCTTTTACATAAATTTCAATAGTATATTTTCAAAGTTTAACTCACTCAAGCCAAACAACGGGTGCCAAGACAAATCTATAATTTTGAAATTTGAATCAGAATTTTTGAATTTCGATTTCTGGATAAATTAATCTCCTAAGCAGATAACTTTTTTCCATCCAATTTGCCATATCATTGCTGCAATAATTCATATTTAACGAATAAAACGTTTATTAATTAGCGGAAAATGATAAATATTATCAGTTGAAAAAAAGAACGAAAATCCTTCCCACTCATTTTTCATGTAACAACATGGAGAAATGATAATTGTTTATCAGTATTGTATGCATCGTTTGTTTATGTATACTATCACTGCAATAAATCGAATGCATTCTTAATGAATATTAAAATCAATAAATCAATTGATCCTAAACACACTTCTAATCACACTTATCATTAATATGATTATTTGTATTCTCAGTTATTGATCTCCTTGGGAGTTGTATTATTTCTAATTATAATATTTTTGAACAAGAATTTTTCGCCGGTTGAATGGATCATTTCGTTTTTTTTTTTTTTTTTTTTTTTTTTTTTGGTTGTCATTTTTTTTCTTGAAATAATTCAAAAATATAAAATATCTAAAACTTTTCAATTAAACAGAGACTAAGATTAATCTTTTTTTTTTTAATATAACATTTTAAATTTGTTTTTCAATTATTATTGCATAAGCTTATTTAATGTCATAAAATTATTATTCTATGCAATAAAATCCTCATAATTATTCTTGTTTGCAAAAATATTCTGGAATATGACCAGTTTCATTTTTTGCATTTGATATGCAGTCGAAAAATCAATAATCTATCTCCTTCAACATAGCTATTGAAAAAATTTTTTATAAAATATAAAATAAACAATGAAATTTCCTGAGATATTGTCCTGCATGCAAAATAACTAGATACATTCTTAAATTGAACCGACTATTCGATTTATTGAATTTAAAATATAATCAAAAAATCAATAATTGCAGGCCTTAACCTAGTTATTGAAATTTTGCCTTCGAAGCCTTTTAAGTGAAATTTTGTCTTTTAAATAAGAAAAATGACAAATAGTGGAGATTTCTGGGATGTTACATTTCATGATGTAAATGCATTCTTGAATTTAATATTTTGTTTTTAAAATTTGTCATATTTTGTAAAATATGCTTTGCCTAAAAATCATTTTATATAACAATTTCAACAGCGATGCTTTGATTGTAAATTATTGCAAAAACAAGGAAAATGCTGAAGAATTTACGGTAAGATATCTACAAATATTCATATCAACAAATGTAATATTTAAGCAAATGTATTAATAACAAGCAAAATATTTTTCAATTAATACAATATCTTCAAGAATGGATAACTGCGAACAAATTTCAAATTCTAGTTATAATTTCAATTCGACATAATTTTTGTTGTACATTGCACGAAAGTTTTGAAATAAGCGATAAATATATATGGCAATTTGCTTTTGGTATAAAAAGTTATAGCAACAATCTGTAAATTATATCAAAAATTTTGATTTTAAATCACCAGATTAATATTTATTAATAAAATCAAAAGACAAAAAAAAGTAAATACACAGAGAAAAGTTTTAAAGCTTTTAATCGTAAAAAGTTTTGAAGAAAAAAAAGAAAAAAGAAAAATTTTGAAGACGTAATTTTAATTTACCGAAACTTCAATATTTCAACTAACATATAAAAATACAGAAAGAAAAAAAAATGGAAATTTTTTCTCACAGTTCTCTAATAATAAAGAATAAGTTTGCTTTTTTTTCTTTTTAACAAAATCTATTGGATTCATTTCATAAAATCAATTTCACGAATT